GGCAGAGATGTGACTTATCTTAGATACAAGTATTTGAAATACAGATACAAGATACAAAATACGTATTTTCATCTTGTATCTAAAATACTTTTTTTAGGAAGTATTTTGTATCTTGTATTTAAATACTTTTGTTTAGTATCTTAGTATCTTTTAAATACTTTTTCTGATAAAATACTTTATAAAAAGATTATTTCTTACATTTTATAAATATCACAAAACATTCTTTGCCTAAAACATACATATTTACAAAAAGAAAGTGTTCAATTATCAACGCAATGAATATTTAGTTAAAAATAACTCGAATCCAAACATTGTTTGGTGTCATTTAAAAAGTAAATGCGTGGAACTGAACGTACGGTTATACCGGTGTAATACACCCTCCCTAGTAAAAATTGATAGATGGCGCATAGGGCTTGAAATCGAATAACCAGATACAAGCAATAAAAAATCTTGATTTATGTAAAAACCCGGTTATATGCTATAAATAAAACTCAGTATATCAATTAAACTCATTATTAAATTTTATTATTTTTTTGCACATTATACTTTTTCCACTAACAACAGCAGGAGCGGCGTTAGGGTAGGGCGCGGTTGGGCGACCGCCCAGGGGCGCCGGACCAAAAGGGGCGCCGCAGGCAGCAGCGCCCTTTTTTCGTCCGGCGCTTTTTTCTGATTCTGTATAATAAGGAAATATTAAAAAATGAAAGCACTACAAAAGTACCTCCACTAGATGGCGACTCCAGCAAAAGTTGATTTTTGCAGGAAACGAATGGAACAAAGACAGTCATTTCCGTTCCTTCTAAGTAACATATTAAAAAACTGAAATTTGAAATGTTCGAAACTTAGATATCAATACAAATACGAAAAAGTACAAATAGAATATGAGTTGTTTATTAAATTTTGAAAAATAATTTACTTTTAAACATGAAAGAAAACTGGAAGGGTTGTCATGGAGAAATCAAGAACGTATCGTAGCGACATCTAGTTTGATTTCGGGAACTAATTTTTTTTTTCTAATACTTCCTCATTTCCCACAAACAAAGATTATATACATATATAGTTCCCTCGCTCATTGAACAAGGCCTACTGGGTCGGCGAAAAAAGACAAGAACCGTGAGGATGTTTTTTGTTTTCAAGTTGCCTCATTTCAGCATGAATTGAAAGGAAACTTAACAAGAAAAATATTATATTATGGTAAAACAGAACAACATACCGATTACCAATACGAAGATATGTATTTTATTAGGTAAGATGACGTACATAGGCGGGCATTATCGCTCGATCATTTAAGAAAATTTTCGTTTGAGCATGTTTAAACGTTAAGCTGAAGCTAAAATGCTGCAATACAAACGAATGCATCGGCAGTGGAGCCTCTGTCTGGCAAGTCAGATGGAATAGCTACTCAAGAGATTCCTATCCTATCCCTAGAAATTAAACCGATTGAACACTACGTTCCATTCTAATGCTGCCAACTTAACAATCTACCTAAATTTAGGGAAAATTACAAGTAAGTAGGCCGGGTCGGCGAAAAAAAGACAAATAACTGATTTGTAGTATGTAGTAGTAATTGAATTGCAGTTAGGGGGCGCCGAAGAAATTTCGCCCAGGGCGCTAGTAGTGCTAAAACCGGCACTGAACAACAGCATTCAAAAAGTTTATTTTTAAAGAACTTTCACTGTGAAATTCGATACATGGCAAATGCTTGAAATTATATCCCGTGAGCAAAGCAATATTGCCTTTATTCACTCAACAGTTAATCTTTTTCTATCTTTTGACCACTGCATATTCATGAGCGAAAAAAAAATCAATATTCGCATTATGAGGCATAATACAAAAAAATACTGACAAATCTTCAGTAGTTCGGAAACGAGTGCTGTCATTGCATATATTGAAAATAATTACCCACTGCTTTTCAACTAATCGTCATAAAAATAAATTTGTTAATAAAAAAAATTCTTCAAATAATTTCTTTGACATCGTCAATCAATACTCCTTTATTTTTCAAAAATACAACACAATCGGTGATGTAATCGTATAGTAGATTTTGCTTTAATAAGTAACCATTTAATTCAAGGGATCTTTATTGAGAAACAACAAAAAAATGGGCGGAGTCATGTCTTAATATTAGGTCTTTACCTATGTAATTGCCGTTCTACTGTACTAGCCATTTAAAATCAAACTATTTTTTTGGCTGATAATTCTAATATCAAATTATTTTTTCTTAAATCGTCATTTGTTCAATAGTAAGTGTTTTGTTTTCAATGAATTTGAATATTTTTCGTCGTCATGGATAAGTTAAAAATTCGAGTAATTATGGAGTATGTGTGCCATCGTGGCAGCAAAGCGGCACGCAACATTACAACGTTTGCAGAGCGAACACTACAAACGAACGCACCACCCTTTATTGGTTTACGAAAAGGTTGCTGTTTGGTGGTCTAACGCGGATGTATTTCATCACAGCTTCTTAACAAACAGGATGACCATTACTGCAGATTTACTGTGTGTATTGTGAAGAACTGAACACAATGACGGAGAAGCTGGCACAACTCCAACCAGGTTTTGTCAATCGTTCGGTTCCACTGCTCCTGCACGACCACGTACGACCTCATACTACACAATTGGCGGTACCCAAGCTACAAGAGCTGGGATTTGAAGTTCTCCGTCTTCCGCCGTACTTAACAGACCATGCGCCTACAGACTTCTTATTCTTCCAGAATTTGGATAACGTCTTAGCGGGAAAAAAATAAATTCCCGAGAGGCAGTACAAAATGCCTTTGAAGTATTTGTTGCCTCGCGTCCAGCTGATTTCTTCAAGAAGGCATCATTAAGCTACCAATGCGTTGGCAAAGATGTATTGATTGCATAGGTGATTACTTTGATTAATAGAAATAAGAAAATAAAGCTTCATTTATTTTATTAAAAACGGAAATATCATAGATAAAGACTTAATTAATACTTCAAATCCGGTTGAGACCGGATTTATCCGATCAGATGGTAACTAATGGCGCATTACCAACAGTACCAGCAATACCAACTCTACGTCTTTTTAGGTACATCTACGTATTATAAGCCTTTCCTACAAACCAACGTACTATAATCAACCACAGAAGCTAAGTATTTTCTACTAAAAATTTTCAAATTAGCTTAATACACTAAAGGGGCATAATTTTCAGTAATTCTGCAAAAAAAGTTAATATACGTTCCGTTACATACTATCGCACATTCACCTCGTCACAAGTCACGCCATTAATTTTAAAAACCAAGTACTGTATTTATTTTCACCCATTCTCTTCATCTCACTAGGAAAAAATGAATTTTCAGTTCTCCGTAATTTTACGTCGTACGTAAAACCAGCTTTTTAAATAAATAATAATTTTATAATTAAATTTAAATAATTATTGTTGTTGTTATATTTCAGCAATTTTTCATTCACCATGCTATATTGAAAAAAATTATTATTAAAAAGGAACTAAAAAATTTATAATAATTTAAACCTGATGTATTAAATATTTGCATTTTTATATGTTACATTGTGATTGACAAACAAATAAAACGGAGGAAAAGTGGGTGAAATTTAGCTTGTAAGATTTGAGTACAAACACAGGTGAAACTAAATAAAAGCTTATATAAATTGTTTCTAATGAAAAATGCTTAAAAAATCCACTTTGTCCCTGGAACCATCTGGTCTAAGATTTAGGTTTTTGTGGTCTTTAATAAACAAACTGAAATTCAAATATTTTTTTAGAAAAGTATTTGTATTTGTAAAAAGTATCTATAAGATACCTATTTTGTATCTAGTATTTCAAATACTTTTCTCGAAAGTATTTTGTATCTGGTATCTGAAATACTTAATTTAAAAGTATTTTGTATCTTGTATTCCAGATACTTTGTACAGGGTATTTTGTACATCTCTGGTGGATGGTTCTATCAGTTTCTAGATTATTTTTACAACCCACGATTTAGTGAAGATCACATACGATTGAGCAAAAACAGCAGTATGTACCAATCTAAGGTGGGGTAAGGTATGCCTTAAAAATACTTACACGTTGCTATTATATTTTATCAATTTCACATTCCAAAATGCTTCACTAGAAAATATTCTTAATAAAAAAAGCTTAAAAATCCACTTTGTCCTGGTACTTAACATGGGCATTTGAAACTACGACCTTTCGCAATGCATAGAGACCATGGTGACCAAAAAATTATTATCTCGAGCTACTCCGTGTTTCGGAAGGCACGTTAAGCCGTTGGTCCGGCAGCGTCTGCAGTCGTTAATACCATCCAATCTGTATTAGGCCCGTGTGGAGGATCATGGCTCATCGTCTTTAAACACCCATAAGGAAGGTCTGAGTAGAGACGTAACAGGGCTGATGATGATGATAGAGCCATGCGAAGTGTTATATCCAAGTTTATTTCTTTTATTGCATTCCACAATGTAGTATGTATTAAGATATTCATAAAAACAAAGTATGAAGTTTGTATAAAACTTCTCCAAATTCTGCTTTCGCAGGAACAGATAGACTTTGTAATGATCCATTTGTTCCCGCGCCGCAACTCAAAACGACTACGTAAATACATACGTACCTAGTAGAAAATAAATATTTAAATGTAAAATAAATATGCTACATAAATATATTGCACAACAAAGTAAGATATTTTAAGATATTTTACAGTGTGCAATAGAACAGCGATCTTTCCATACTAAAATATAATATAGGGATTACGTTCGGAAGAGTTTTAGTATGGAAAGCTCATTGTGTATATCTTACTTTGTTGTGCAATATAGTGTATAAATAACATATATATATAATGGGTCAAATTTGCCGCCCTAGGCTCCAGCCTACTCAGCCTGCTGGTCAATCCACCTGTCTGTGATGCGATAGAAATATATCTGTTTCATAATAATGTATGAAAATACAAGCGAAGACACAAACGTGTCTTAACATTTACTTAAGGCAAATTAAATATATATTTTTTAAAGGTAAAACAATAAAATACAAATTTGAACGAATTCTTATATTAAAGTAACTTCATAAATCACAATCAACGTTTAAATTTTACATATAACTTAATTTCCATTAAAGTACGCAAAATTTCTATCAAAAGAAAGCAAATGTATATGACAACAGTTTCTGCTGCATTTAAGATATTAAATTAATATTTTATCTCCCGTAAAGGCACTAAATATTTTCACTGGTATAAATTTTCATTTGAAGTAGTATTTCACACAAAAAAAATATGCAATAAAATAATACACACTATACTAAGACAAGCGAATAATTTAAATTGCTATTGACTTAAAAAGACAGTTGTAAACATACTGCTTTAAAAAAAGTTAATAATACCCAGGTAACCGCTCAAATTGTGGAACGTGTTTGGCCCAATTGTTATTTAACTGAGCTAATTAAAAATTTCAATAATTCTTAATTTATTATTATGGCTAAAAATAAAAATCATTGAAAGCATATTTTATATTCGTATACTTACGACGTCGATAAGGATTTGCATTACGATTTTTTATTATCAAAACGAGTCGTAAATAAATTTAAGACCATTTCATAAAAAGTACGATATTTTCCGTTCATTATTGAATCTTTTTTAAAGAAAGCTAATAGTGCATTACGTACATATCTATGAATATTATAAAATGTAGGCTAGTCCTAGGTAATCATTTAATTCAATTAAGACTTCACCAATACAATATTAAAATCTAATTTGTACCATTCAAATGCATTTAAGTTGCGTATTGTCTAAATGAGCGATTACGTTACTTAGTAATAATTTTCGACAAATGTAAACTGGTGTCGTGTCACTGTCACTCACAAGACTTCATTGAGGCACACACCCAAACATTATAATTGACAATGAATTGTACACAATAATTCATGATTTAAAGAAAACAAAAACCATTGCCATAAACTCAGCAAATCGATAAAATATCTTCATAATTCAAATTAACTAATACCTACAAATACATTGCACAGTTTATATAACTCTAAGTGCAATTTAATATTCTAAATATATCATTCCACAGGAAGTCAATAATGTCAGCCAACCTCACATGTCCAAATCGAATATGAGATCGTTTTTGAATGTAATTTCTAAATATTGCCCTTTGTTTAACTTATCAGGATTATAGAGATCAGTGTTGTGTTTTATATTATCACATGTGACGGAATCAGGATTTTTCTTGTGGCTTTTTTTAGTTTCAGTGTCTGATTTCCATATAGTTGGTTCCTGTCCTTGATTATTCTTATCTACAATGTTTAACATTGACTTAAATGCAATATTATCGGTGGTGCCGTTGTTACCATTGATGTCTCCGTTGCCATTCTTATCACTGACTTTGTCATCTGGTTCAGAGTACATTGATGAAGATTTGCAATCTGCTTCCGCATCGGAGGTGTCGGCTAGGCCGCTATCACGCCTCTGTTTCAGTACAGATTTCAATCTGGGCTTTGAAGACTGGAAAAGAAAAATTGGTTAATTAAAATACTAAACAAAATTATTTAATATCAAATGTTTTTAACATCTAAAAAATGTGCCAAATAAGTTTATTTTACCTATTAGCGATTTATTATGCGTAAATATCACATATTCGTTGTTTTAAGCTAATAATGACTAATTAAGTTATCGTGGACAAATATTCATTAAAATTAAATAATGTAAGATGTTATTTATTGTATTTGTTAATAACTAAGGATTTTAAAACAAAACAATTTACTTATGAAAAAAACTTAAAATCTAGATTTCATTACTTTAGATTGAAAATGACTATATTAAAAAGAGATGTGTAATGCAATTTAGTTAGAGCAAAACATATCAATATAAAATAATACCGAGTTGCTACTAAAATAGAAACTAATACAAATTATGACTTAACACAATAAAGTAAAAATTATGAAGTTTGTTTTATATTTAAAATTACCTCACCTGTGTCAATAGTGCTTAATAAAGTAAGGAGAACTGTGTTTCATTAGTCAACAAATACATACCTATTTGTATTCATTGTTATTGTCATATAATAATGTACACGTATACTGTAGCAGATCACATAAAACAAAAATAATTTTTTTTTTGCAATTTATCTATACTTATAAACAGAAGAAAAGGCATTAAGTTGTTGGAGTAATTTGGCTTTTTATGTGACATGCTGACAATTGTACTAAAACGTTATCATGAGAAATCATCATTACATTATGAACACAAAATCTTGGCAGGTTGTATTAAAAAAATACTAACCTTATTGGTGTTAGTTATGTCATCTTCAGCTTCACTTTCACTCTTTCTTCTGTCTTGACTACGTTTTTTACTCTTCTTCCGCTGATTCTTTTTCTTCTGGCCTTCTATTGATGAATTATACCTAGAATGAATTGAATAAATACATTCAATTATTATTAAGATTAATATAACAAGAATGAAATCATCATCAATCAGACAGATAAGATTTTGTAACAAAACAATTTATATTACCAAACCAAACCTAAGTATTTATCAAAATGATAATATTATTGATAATATGGGAATGATAAAACACATAACAGAACCAAAATAAAAATATTGAAAATAATAAAAATAGAAACTGACCTGTAAAATTGTCTTGCAATAACATCATTAAATCTAACAGTCTTTTTCAAACTATTTTCCTCATGTATACAATCAGAACTGATGTAATCCATTGATGATGCTATATCAGCACTAGACTCAGAGAAGCTGCGCATCATTGACATTGGTTTACGAAGGATACTTTTTGCACCACTATCACTCCCTTGTTCAGTCCACACAATCTCCTTCTCTTTTACAGTAGGAGACTCAAAATCGTCTTCATCCAGATCATCCTCAATATCATCATTTTGGTTTGATGAAACCACAATATTTGTCTCAGTTCCCAAATTAGTGACTTCAACAATAGGTTGCGAAACTTCTAACTCATTCACCTTAGGTTCATCAGTAACATGATTTGCATTTTTACTGACTTGAGATGTGTCAAATTCTTCACTAACCATACTATCTTCATTCAAGCCTATTTCAAATCTCTGTGGCATGCCACTAGCGAGTTCAAGTTGTAGAATCACATTGTTGTCCCATGCCTCTCCTGTCACATTATCAAATGTTGTGCAATCATCAAACTTAAGTATGGCACCATAATGCACAGGAACAAACCCAGATCCAACAGTTGTGAATTTAATAAACACTTTGTTGCAAATTCTTTGGACTTTAACAGAATCTGGCTCAGTGTTTTTAACATGGAAAGTGAATGCAATCACTTCATCCAACACATTGTGTGTGTATGCAGGTAAAACATAACCAAGCGACTCACTGAAAAATGATGATAAGGTACTGGTTGATTTATTGTGATCATCAGACGTTTTCTTTATATATTCTACTGGAGTCGACGATATTTCAATAATTTTACTATCTGCATTATCTTCATCACTCTGGGATTCTGAGTTCTCACTTTCTACACCACTGTCTACTTTAAGAGAATTCATTTTGTCACTGTTCATATGTTGCTTTATCACTGGTAGAGTCACTGTCAAGGTACGCTTATTCTTATCAAACTTAGCAATACCACTTTCATCATTTACTGAGTAAGGGAGTACAATATTTAATTTATATTTTGCTGGTCTTTCAGATTTCAAACCCAAAGACTTATCGTGGACATCAAGGATACAGTCTTTGGTAGAAGATAAAAGTGGAAGATTTACTTCCACCACTATATGACTGGGAATAGCAGCATATTGTTTGCAATCTTTATTATAAGTGTAATCTTGGAAATCAACATTTTTCTGTTGTTTAATTGTATATTTAGGTACAGTATATCCATTATCAGATGCATGATGAAATTCTGATTGAACATTGGTTTTCAGTTTACACTTTTGTCTTGCTTCTGTTTGGGAATTTTTCTCTGCAGTATAACTCGATTGAGGATACAATTTATCTAATAACTCTGGTGACACTTCCTCACTATCCTCTTCAGAAGGTGGTTGAAAATTAGGATCCTCTTTCCTTATTACAGCTGGCATAGTCATCCCTTTATAGTGAGATTTGGGAAAACGTAAATTGTTGCTATCAAAGTGGATATTGAAAGTATTTTGGAGTCCTTCACATGCTGTTTTATTTACCAAATCGCGAAATTGTTTATTAGCCTCTGCCATGCGCAAAGTATCTGGATGAAACACAACATCGTAAATGACACAGCGCTCTTTTTTATGGTCATAATCTTCCCTAGGAGGAATTATTGAATACGGCAACAGCCAATTCATTCCTTTTCGGCCACTTACTTCTTGAACTTTGTAAGACGGTTTGTCAATATTTTCATTACTACAAATATTTATAAACGCTTTCCTGTCGCCAGCGACACTTGTTTTAATAACATAGCCTCCCTTTGGATTTATGAATGTTACATCGTAACCACGCTCTTTCTCGAGCTGGGTCATTTCTTTCTGATACAAAGCTTGATTTGCCGGGTCACGTACTTCTTCGCAGTAGTCAACCAACAAATCACGAAATTTCTTATTTTTCATTGCTTCCTGGATAACTTCAAGGTCCGTCCGAGTAAGCTGGGACTCTTCATCTCGAGGTTTTACTCCTGTTGCCATTTTGTTTGATCTAAGTTGATCAATTTATAAATAAACACCCTGTTACGTACTACGCATGCAAATCTTTGATTCTTTCTACAAATTTCTTTTCAGCTGACATGACATGACAGACAGTATGGCCAACCAAAATATATTATCCAAGTAAGAATACTCAATAACTATCGATATTAGACGTGTACCAATATAAAAATTAACGTTATCAGAAAAATATTGATTTTATGTCCTCAAAAACAGCGAAACAGCTATTTTATAAGAATATTATCTATAAATCTATATAGGATAGAGGAAGCTAACAGTTAACTGTAATGAGGAAGTTTTAAAAAAAACATTAGTTCCAGAAACTAAACAAGATGTCGCTATGGTACTTTCTGGATTTCTCTGTGACAACTCTTCCGGTTTTCTTTCAGGAATAAAAATAAATTAACTTTCAAAATTCAATAAACAACTTATATTCTATTCGTAATTTTTCGTATTTGCATTAATATCTAAGTTTCGAACTTTGCGAATTTCGGTTTTTTAACTTTTGGTAGAATCGCCATCTAGTGAGATGCTTTTTTAGTGCTTTCTTTTTTTCTAAATATACTTCCTAATTAGAATGGAATCAACTTTATTATGAGCCGGCTTAGGCAAGCAATCGTTACAGTTGTAAAAAAGCGTGGTTTTTATCTATATAATAATTTTTGAAGAAAAATAAATCTGATATTGGATTCATAAGATTATATGAAAGCTTAATGATTTTAAAATACTTTTTCAAATGTAGTATCAGGAACAGCTATATAATTAACGCCTTTAAACAAATTAAGTTGTAAAACAAGTGAGTGAGCGATCAAGTGCGAGCTTGTTGTTTTAAACTTTATAAAATGGGAGCCCACGATGCTAAATCGGCATTTAATCGAGTGTCATATACAGGCCCGTCTTAAGCAGGAATTGCTCTGAACCCCCCCCCCCCCCCATTTTGTTAACATTTCTTGCTAAGGTAAATATCGCACCTCAACCGCACCATTCGATATGGCTTCACGAACAAAGTGGAACTTGATATCGATATGTTTCGTTCTATTATGGTTCATCTTATTTTTCGCAATATGATGTGGTTTATCAGTATAACTGTTTGTTATACTTTTTAACAAACTATTTAAATAAATAGCTTCTTTTGACCCTTGACTCAAACCTACATATTCAGCCTCCGTTGAGGACAATGCTACATATCTTGGCTTACGACTCTACCACATGATTAAATTCTCTCCTAACTTAAAGAGTAGCCCTGTGAAAGATTTTTTATCATAAGACCCACCCCAATCCGCGTCTACGTAGCCTATTAGATCTAACTTTCGGTTTTTTGAAAAGTAAGCGCAAAATCAGATGTCCCTTTTAAATATCTAAGCATCCGTTTAGCACACTTAAAATGAGTTTCATCATAACACGAATTAAACTGTGATAAAACGCTAACAGCATGTGCAATATCTGGTCTACTATTTTGTGCTAAATAGTTCAGACATCCTATCAGATTTTGATATGGCAACCTACAACTGGGATCTGAAGCTTTATCTAACTTGATACCAGCTTCCATAGAAGCGTTGAGTGGTTTGCAGTCTGTCATTTCAAATTGTTTTAAAACATAATTGACATATTGTTCCTGATCAAGATAAATTGTATTGCTATCTCTTCTAAGTCTCATGCCTAATACATGTCTAGCACGATCTAGATCTTTGACTTTGAACTTTTTCAATAAACCATTTTTCAATTTACATTTCTCATTTTCATGGTTTTTACCACAAACTACAAAAATATCATCAACATAAATTACTACAATTATTCTATCACTATCTCCTAATACCTTTTGATACAAACAAGGCTCTATTTTTGATTGTGTGAAATCTAGATTTAGTATTTCCCTATCGAGCTCATTAAACCAGGCATTTGACGCTTGTTTAAGTCCATACAATGATCTTTGCAATTTACATACCTTGTCTCTTGACCTTTTACGAATGCGCCCTTAGGCATATAAATATCCTCTTTCAGTTTTCCATATAGAAAAGCAGTCGTTGCATCCCATTGGTCAATATTCCAATCATATTCTACAGCTAATGAAAATAATAACTCATTATAATCAATACCACGTACCTGAGTAAATCCTTTAGCTACCAACCTAGCTTTATATTTAGAAACCTTACCATCGCTATCATGCTTTATCTTAAATACCCATTTGCATTGAATCAGCTTCTAATCACGTGGTAAATCAACTAGTATCCACGTCTGATTCTCTTTCAATGACTGTAGTTCATCATCCATGGCCTTCTGCCATAACTCATGATCAGGCCTAGTTAATGCCTCCTCTATCGTCATTGGATCGCCATCAATCTCAGCAATAGCTTTGATACACGTACAAGAACAGTTATAATCGACCGGGTTTCTCGAACGTAGGTTGTATCTATGTTCAACATTCGACGCCGTAGTAGTTTCAGGATTTAATTCAACGCTCAGTTCAGTATTCCTTTCTATGACTTCAGTATTAACTTCTTGAGTTGTTGTATTAAGATCTTGAATGATATTTACATCATTTATGTTTATATCAGGACCTTCTTCTAATGCCGCAGTTTCATTTTGTTCCTCATCTAAATTGATAGGAACAACTGCGTTCTTCGTTTTCACATTCATGCCATCACCAGGAAATACATTTTCCAAGAACTTTACACTTCTGGCAACTGTTATCTTATCTGGTTGCGGGTGCATCAGTCGGTGATCTTTTGTGTTCTCATTATAACCGATAAAAATCAAGGCTACAGCCTTCATGTCAAGCTTTTGTCTTTTCTGTTTCGGTTTTAATGCATACGCCAAACAACCAAAGATTTTCAAATGGCTTAAGTCCACTTTCTTACCCGACCAAAGTTCTTGAGGTACTTTATTTGTAACAGCCTTTGTAGGGCTTCGATTTTTTAAATAAACTACTGTACAGACTGCTTCAGCCCAGAATTGTTTGCTTAAATTTGCATCACATAATAAAGTTCTTGCCTTTTCTATTATTGTTCTGATCGCCCTCTCAGCTACGCTATTTCGTTCAGGCGTATATGGTACTGTCTTTTGGTGCTTTATACCAACTGACTTTAAGATTTCTTCGAACTCATTGCTACAAAATTCTTTACCATTATCTGATCTTATACATTTTATCTGTTTGTCAGTCTCTTTTTCAACTTCAGTCTTATACTCTCTAAATTTACAGTATGCTTGACTCTTATGTCTTAAGAAGTATACGTGTGTCTTACGCGTGTAATCATCAATAAATAACAGAAAATAACGAGAACCAGCAAACGATGTCTCTTCTATAGGCCCACAAATGTCAGTATGTACTATTTCTAAAATCTGATTTGCTCTCGTACCTTTATTTTTTAATGAAGTTTTCATTAATTTTCATTTAATGCATGGATCGATGTTGTCAACCTTTTTAAAATCTACTCCAGTCACCATATTTTTCAATAGTAACATATATTTTTGTCCTAAATGTGCTAACCTTTTATGCCACATATTCGACAAAATTTCATTTGAAAATGTTAAATTGACAAACATAGAATTGCCAATGTCATTCAATTTGAAAATGCCATTTATTTTTCATTAGATCACTAACAGAAATTAAGTTCGTTGATAAATCAGGAGCATGTAAAACATTTTTCAAAATGATATTTTTTTTTCCTTTGCCCAAAGGTTCCACGTCCTTGTACTCGTAACTTTTCTCCATTCGCAACTGTAATACTCATGTTGCTTTTCTCAGGTTTATAAGACACCAACTTATTTTTATCATGTGTCATATGACTGGAGCAGCCACTATCCAGGTACCATTTTGGCTTCAATGCCTTTCTGTGTGCTCATGCACACATTTGCAGTTTTACCTTCTTCTGTGCAAACTGACGCTCTGTGTCCGTGCTGGTGACACTTAAAGCATTTATATACAACTAGTGGACGCCCGCGACTTCGTCCGCGTGGAAGTCGGTATCCCGTGGGAGTGAGAAGTTTTCCCAGTAAAAAGTACCCTATGTGTTATTCTGATGTATAACCTATATTGCTGTAAAGTTTTATCCAAATCCGTCCAGTAGTTTTTTCGTGAAAGAGTAACAAACATCCATACATCCATACTTACAAACTTTCGCCTTTATAATATTAATAGGATAGGATCTTATTTTTTTGATCTTTGGTTTTGGTATCAGATCTAATTGTGTTTTGTACTTTTCTAGTTACCAAGGCAAGGGCTGGATTTTCATTTTGCTCGTGTTGGTGTTGCCTTCAACGAACGTGTAGCAACTTGAATGTCAGCATTAAAATCAGCGACGATAGTTGCTGTGCAGATATTAAAACAATACTGATAATCGTAACACACTTGATGAGTAGTATGGGAATACTATTCAAATATTGAAAAAAATAAAAAAGTGGTATACCAATCCACTTACCGCGTAAATAAGACAGGAGTGCCACAAGGAAGTGTGCTGGGCCCTTTACTCTTCCTTATCTACATAAATGATCTCCCAGATATGACGGAACATAAATGTATACTATTTGCCGATGATACAACACTTATTGTAAAATGTCGAAATATTAATGAGATGAGTGAAGTTACAAATAAATCCCTCTATAAGATAATGGAATGGTTAAACGTAAATAATTTAAAAGTAAATTTAGGTAAGACTAAATATATTTTATTTAAAACACGTAATATTAATAATCGTAACATTAATAACAATAGTATGGATATTAATTATAAATTGGAAAAAATCAATGAAGCAAATATGGCAAAATTTTTGGGTATAACAATTGATGATCAATGTAACTGGAAAATACATATATGAGTCTATATGTATTTTCCAGTGATGATGATGCTTAAACTTGACAGATTTGTATTTGTGCTTAGAAGAATAAGAAAAACTGTATCTAAAACTGCAGCTATAACAGGCTATCATGGATATGTAGCATCATTGTTACGGTATGGCATTATTTTATGGGGAAACTCCGTCGATAGTGACAAAGTCTTTAAGTTACAAAAAAAAATGTATAAGATCTATATGTGGTGCTGCATTTTTGGACTCGTGTAAGCCACTTTTAAAAAATTTGAATATTCTTCCTTTGCCTTGTCTATATATTTATGAAATAGCAAAATTTGTAAAAAGGTATATGGTTCTATTTGAAGTGAATGGGAATAGCTGTATTTATAGGGGTAGATTTATAGATAAATTGTGTGTGCCATCACAAAGATTGACTCTTTATTCTAAAAATGCTTTTTGTATGGCTATACGTATTTATAATAAGCTGCCAAAACACCTCACTGACATGACTGACGAAATTCCAAAAACATCTGCATGAATATTTATTAAATAAATTGTATTATAATATTAATGACTTTTTAATGGATAAAATTGGTAATTAAATTTAAATTTATATGACATTTAATTTGACATTTGTAATGATAATTGTAAATGGATTATTATGGTTGAATGAATTATTATTAATTATTGACATCATCTTAACTGAAAAATTATTCTCTGTTTTCATGTAATGACATTTAAAAATAAAAATATTTGCACACTGTTCATATACTGTAGAATGTGAGAAACTATTGTTAATAACTGTGTAACATCATTTGTACCATATTCTCGCAAATAAACATTTATTATTATTATTATTATTATTATTAGAGTCTGGCAAGCGAAACGTGTCACAAGAAAAGGGCGGCAATTTCAAAAATTCTTAAGCAGTAAACACTGAATGTAGTACTGCAAAATAATTTTGATACTTTTATTAATTATATTTAATCTTAACATTTAGATATCAATTAAAATTATTTGTTTTGGAACATTTGACTAAAGCGTGACTGTTCTTAATTGTACAGTTAACAGCATATCAGTAGGCCTATTCACTAACTCAACTGACAACCAAGAATCGTCATCACCGTAAAAAATAGACACTTTGATTGTGTCAAAATCACTATTTCGTATTCTCTATCAATGATGAGCAATTTCGAAATGTCAATATCGGCATTCTCCACTGGACTCCATTTTGACACTTGATTTCGTATCGATAAACTGTATTAAAGTAACATTGTTGCAAAGCATATTTGAAGTCGTCGCATAGTACCTCTTAAGCCATTTGTTGTTAAATTAAAGCGAAAAAAAATACGTATCCAATATTTTTCTATTATCTGACTGACGGACTAAATCGAATCTTTTTTTTAACCCATTCGTTATACCTATTGGCTAACAGCACTTATAATATTAAAAATTCATATTTGTCATTAATTAAAAGGGTGTTTTTTGCAACGACTTCTTTGTTTTTTTGTAATGAATATGGGCGACTCTGGCCACATTTTTTTAATAAATGTGATGTTAGCCAATTTTGATTTCTGGCCCTTATATTTATAATGTGTTCATAACACATACATGTCTCCTAAGGGATTTTCATCACAACCTTTTGCTCTGATCCAGAACCACTATCTATCAAATTAAATTAGTCAATATAAACACCAGATTACAATAAAAAAAACATTTATTTTTGTTACAATTAAGTGCCATGGATAAATTACATAATACAGGTGTCACAAAATCATCATGTTAATCACAATAGAAAATTTAAGATAAGATTTTGACTATGAATCAGACTAAAAATACTTTAGTCTGATTCATAGTCAAAATCTGTTTCTAAATATTCTACACCTGATAACAATGACAAGGAATCATCAGAGTCACTCTCTTCACTACTGTCTGCACCAACAGATATAATAAATTTTTCAAGTTCGTTTTCAACAATGCCATCTTTTAATTTGTAATCATTTTCGACATTTAAAACATGATCAGTGTATTTCTTCCAGTCACTAGGGGTAATTAAGTTAAAACACTCTATTATTAAGTTTTCCATTTCCTTTCCTGGTATTCCAATGTTTCTGCTTGCAATTTTTCTTTTTGCTTGACTCCAAACCATCTCTATTGGGTTTAAGTCACAATGATACGGTGGCAGCAATAAAAGTTCATGATTATGTTCTTTTAAAATCTCTTCAGCTTCATATACAGGCAATGTTTTCTTATCATTAACCAAACACATTAACTCTGCCTTTGTCTGATATTCCTCAAAATGTATTCCATTATTTACAAGCCATTTACGGATATCTGCTTTGGTATTAGACATTATAGGCGGTTTATTGATTTGTTTTATATGGTAGCTGGCATTATCCATAACAATTACACTGGGCTTACTTAAATTTGGTATTAATTTTTCTCTGACCCATTTCATAAAGTTCGATGAGTTCATATCATCATGATAATCAGCAGATTTGGATTTACTACTGAACACTAATAATGCACCAGGCACAAAACCTTCCTCAGATCCAGCATGCACAACAATATGCCGTTTTCCAGAGGATATCTTTGTAGTGACACCAGTTGTTGAAGGTCCTTGCCAAGACTTTTTAACTTTATAATTCTGATGTACATAAGTTTCATCAAGGTACACAATTTGCTTTCCTTCGTTTCGTTTTATATTTATTTCTCTCAAATACTTGTGCCTCCATGCAGAAATCTGGTATTTTTCTATAAGCATAGAACGTTCATTTTCATTGCTTTTAAAAGAAAATCCATTCTTAAGCATAATTTTTCGTAAAGTCTCACGGCTACCACTGAATCCTATTGCATCTTTTAATTCATTGTGAAGGCTTCTTAATGTTGGAACAATTTTTTTCACACAGTAAAATTCATTTACTTTATTCCGAATTGCACTTAAATCAAAATTATCTAAAGCAGACACTGTTGGTTGATGAGGTTGTTTTTTCCCAGGAGTGTCCCATTTTCCTTTATTAATTAATGCTTCATTTTTTATCCTTCTTAGTGTCCTTATACTTACATCTATAAAAGATTAAACACTTTGAAACAAAGATATGTTAAATGTATTTAAAAGCAAATAATGATAGACACATACATCAAAATAATTTAAATACCTATTCAACTATGAATGCAATTTATGTTTAATTTAGTTAAGTTTATGTGCATATTTAGCATGTATAACAATTACATGGTTTGATTAGTTTCATGAATTCTGTGAATTTCCTTGTTAAACAAAACATTCTTATGACATCATTGGATGTCAACAATAAAAACCAATACATCATAAAAAACCTATGTAAATATTATAGGAATACTATCAATCTATCTTAAATCAAAACAAGAAAAGAGACCTGTCATTGAAGAAATTTTTTGTAAGTACTGCGTTTCCGAATTCAGCATTTCTTGTTTTTCTAAAGTTTTTATTGCATTTATCTCCTCCATTATTGGTTGAATATCACCATCACAGTTATCTGAAATAGAGCAATATTTTATAAAAAATATCTGTTTAGTTAATTACAGAAAATTAAAACGAAAGTATCAAAATTATAATACAAAACTAACCTAAAAAAGATACAACTTTATCTAATCGTTGTAATTTCTCCATGAAATTTTTATTTAATTCAGTTTTCACTTCAGTAAACTTGTCAATCATGATGGAAAGAAGTTTCCTCGATGAACTTTTTATCGGCTTCGACATAATTTTTAACCAAAAACACAAGTTCAAATTCGCAAAAACAACAAAATTCAATATTCTTGAATTGTCTAACGTAGTGTCAAACTGACAGTTCTATGTTGTTGCCATATGAAAACGGAAAATTAGGTGGTGTCACGTTTCGCTTGCCAAACTCTACTACTCAACTTATGTGCTTACACTTTGTGTGGTACTGCCATTAGTTTTTAAGTCGTCTCATTATGTGTAATGGCCCCCAATGACATGACATAATGATGACATTAGCGATATTATGTAAATGCCAACATGTCAAAAAACATTAATGAAGAATTTTCGGTTTAAGCTTATTTTAAAATAAAAACTAATATTTATTTGCAAAAAGCTTTATCAAAATATGGCGAAAAATTTTTCTCAGTTTTTTGCACAATTAGTGATCCAAAAACATAGCACGTTTCCATCATTGAGGTTATATGCTAGATGGATGAATAGGAATCCGGCTAAAGTATTATTGCCTTTTGAACCTACTGCAAATCCTTCTCTCAAGAAAGAAAAAGTGATAAGTTTAGATCCAGAGATACTTACAAAAACGAAAGAAATTAAAACGTCTGAGCTACCTACACAGCAAGAATCGTACAAAGATACAAAAGTAGGGGATATAAAACAAAATCCAACACAGAAATTGAAATTCAAGAAAATTAAATCTGAAAGAGAGGAAAAGTTGAAAAAACGTTTATTTTACCTTAGTCAAAAGAAAGTATTTGATGATAACAATGAGTTAATATATGAAAAATTAAAGGAGAATGATGGTAGACTCAGGTATATTCCTTAAATTTAATTGCAAAATACTGTAAAAACTTCAGTACACTTGTTTTTTTTTCTTATTAAATTATATTATTATTCATAATAGCTTGATTACATAGTGGATAAGTGTCGCCTGTGGTCATTGTATTAAGTAATTTTCCTAAGGGTCAGTTATAAGATAGGTGACCAAAAGTATTATTTCGAGCTACTCTGTGCTTTGGAAGGCACGTTAAGTTGTTTGTTCCGACTGCATATGCAGTCTTTGATACCCTCATATCCGTATTGGCCCTGTGTGGAGGGTTATGGCCCATCATCCGTAACCATTGGAAGAATGGAAGGCCTTAGACCTTGCAGTAGAGACATAACAGGGCTGATGATGAAGATGATGATTTATAATATCCTTTGAAAATTGAAATATTTAAATTTTTCAGTTCTCTCCTAGTGAAATTGAAGTCCAAAAAAGATCGTCAACGCTTAGGACAAGTTCTTGTAGAGGGTTGGCGATTAGTTGAAGAAGGATTACATGCGAAGTGTAAATTAAAATATGTTATATTCAGTCAGCTAGAAGATTTGAATAATTTGAGACCATATTTACCTAAAACTGGAACAGTACTATATAAAATACCTTACAAAGAAATTGAATTGTGGTCAGATGTGGAAACTTCTTCAGGAATATTTGGTAATTTAGTAATCAATTCTATTTACAGCTATTGGAAAATTATTTTCTGAAAATATTTCTGTTCCTATTATTAAATTTGCATTATATTAGTAGTAAACAGCTGTATTGTTGTAAAATAAAATTGTGTTTTCAGGAGTATTTGAAATGCCAAAACCAGAAAATATGGTGAGACCTGCTCAACCTTTGCCTTTAAACTTTATTTGTGACAATATCAGGGTGCCTGGAAATCTAGGTGCCATACTGCGAGTGGCAGTGGGTGTAGGATGTGAAAAAGTATTACTCACTAAAGGTTTGTAACAAAAAAACTCACTTTATAAGTAGACCTCATTATGGGAGGTGCAATGTGGTGATTGGACGTTTTTAGAGATGGGTAATGAAATAATTAATTGAATAATAAATATGTACTTAAATTAAATTATTTATCAATATCATAAATACTTTTACCCATCTCCAAAAAATATCCAGCTACCAAATATGTGTAGACAGTAAATGAAAATAAATTGATGATGATCACATATTTACGCTTGTATTAATAATATTGTTTAAATTTATTATGAAAAAACAAATATTTTGTAATCGATGTCATGTGACCATAAACAGTGCGTGATGTCATGACTTGATTACTCATATCAGAATATAGAGAATTGAATCTTATGCATAATATGATTATATGATATTAGTTATAATATGATATTATGAACGATATTAGTTTCAAAGGGCCACAAGGTCTGCCACGCCATAACAGAATTTGGCGTTTATGTTGGAAATGTTTAAAGCTAATATTTATAGATTTTAAACTTATTAAATGAATATATATTATCTATTCATGTATATTTATGAAATAAACAATTAAAAAGTTGTTTACACCCCTATGTCAGCTACAATTATTATTGGAATATTTCAAAAGACACCACTGTCCTATCATTGCTATCTCATCTCCAAAACATTAATACACATATGGTAAAATACACTGCAATATGGTTTTTAATTAATTACTCTCAAACAATTATGATTATTTCTAAAAGTGCTGCATTATTCTTCAGTTATAATGTGATTCACTTGTTATCAATTTTTCCTAAGAAATTTCTGTGAATAATCAGGTATACAAGATATAGAAAAGTTTAAAGATAAAAGTGTTTTTTTTATCAGTTAAATTTTGACAGAAACCTTAGAAATCTGACGTAGCTTTCTTATTTTAAATTACAGTTTAATTGAACATTTTCTTTGTACAGTCAAACTTCACAGAACTGACAAAAACCTTAATGCATATAAGTAGAGTTCAAAATCAATTCAGTAAATTTGATATATTTAGTCAATGTGACTCAGCCGTGTGTACAATCTCAATTGAAAGTAAGTGATTTTAGGTAATAATAAGCAACTGAAATTGTTTTATTGATTTCTTTTAGGATGTGTTGATCTTTGGGACCCTAAAGTAATAAGAAGTGCAGCAGGTGCTCACTTTCGATTACCAATTCATCCATCTGTAGAGTGGCAGGAAATGTCCAATTACCTAGAGCAAGAAACTTCGATAGTAGTTGCCGATAGTAATGCAAAAATAGATGATATTGAGGATCATACAGAATTTAAGGAAGTCTCTCAGGAGCTGCAAATTCCAGTTGTGCCATATTATGGAGTGGAATTTGCAAATATGAAGCATATAACTTTAATAATAGGAGGAGAAACTGAAGGCATAAGCAGAGACAGTTATCAGTAAGATTAACCCAGCTATTCATAAGTAATGTATAGGGACTCGAGATAATACATTTTAAGACCAGACCTAATGAATGTCGCTTAACTGACTGAACCATCTATCTCCTATTGAGATCGTCCTAACCACTTAAAGTCGAATAGTTCATATCTTTCAGTATAATGAACAACACATATTTTGATGTGCAGTTTTTTTAATGCAATGCATTCTCATAACTGTTTATATAATTGAGTAATTTATTTTTCAGCTTAGCAGCTACATCAAATGGATTAAGACTGAATATACCTTTACAAAGAGGTATTGACAGTCTAAACACTGGTATGGCTACTGCAATCATAGCATTTGAAATTAGAAAGCAACTCATAAAAGCTTGGACCAAAGCTAAACTCGAGAGACAAAATGTTCTTAGCAGCTAGAATTTAAGACTTTATCTTGATCCCTATCACATAAGAAGATAATAAATGTAGATTTTTAATGTACCTTTTGTAAATTTATTTTCTAATTGATTGCATAAAAATGCAGTCAAAATGTAAAGGCCTGAAGTACGCTTCTTGTGCGGATGTTAAGATTTTACTTTGAAACCCACGATTCACCAATATTTAATGTAAAATTTAGAAGTGTTCTGTTATCGTTATTCAATTTGCACTTTTACTATCAACCATAAAGGAGTTTCTGGCATGAGTTGATAAGAAAACTATGACGTGTTTATTTTTGTTAGTTAAAATGATGTTTTGCGAGACAAAATGTGATGAAAGTAAACAAAAGGTCAAATGAAGTAATGAGGCTGGGATCGCTAACGAGACGTATTGATTTTAGCGCGGGACCACCAACAATTCACCTTTCATGTGAACTTTTTTGCGTTCACAACATCGAACTATTGTTGTAGTGAAACCAGAAAATATAAAAACATTACGGAAGATTAGACTTTATGAACTAAGACCCCTTGGCTGTAAATATTAAATTACCACACACCGTGTTTTGGCGCGAACCGTTTATCTGAAATGGCTTCTATTAATTTCATTTAATTTTTAATGTTTTGGTCAATGATATTAATATGTCAAAGAACTAGTCCACCATCATTAGTGGTCCGCTATATTGAATTTAGGATGAAGTATTTTATTTTTTATTTCATAGCCAACCATTTTATATTCGGCATATTATCGTGAAATCGAAATATAATAAGAAAAATAATAAGAAATATAATAATCACGCCATACTTATGGCGACCTCTATATTAGATTTTAAATAAAGTTGCTTAGCTATTTATGATTGCCATCTGAACTAAACATGTGTGCAAAATACTTGCTTTAAAATTCAGTTTCAAGATTTGACGAACGTACATATACGAGGGTCAAACTGAAAGTTCTTAGAAAATCAAAAACTGATTACATTAGCCAGTTATTAGTTTTATTATATCTTTTCAAAATATTGTCTATTCACGTCAATACACCGCTGCATGCGATGGAACCACTGGGAAAAGCACTTTGCCCACTCGTCCTTAGGGGTCTCTTCAATGGCATCGCGATACGCAGCCACCGCTTCTTCAGCATTCATAAACCGCTTTCCTTTAAGTTTTTCTTTAATTTTTGGAAATAAATAAAAATCACAAGGCGCGAGGTCGGGGCTATACGGCGGGTGACCCAGTAATTCAACGTTTGATGTCGCCAAATAGTCGATCGTTCGCTTGGCGGTGTGCGACGAGGCGTTGTCGTGGTGAAGGAGGATCCTACTGCGAGGTCGTTTCTCTCGAACTTTTTCCAAGACAAGTGGCAAACAATTGGTAGTGTACCATTCTGCAGAAACTGTTTTTTGATCCTCTAACACAATTGTTGCAAAATGACCTATCCTTCCAAAGAACGAGGCCACCATTTTTTTTCCCGCACTTCGATCTCTCTTCACTTTAGTTGGCAACTCCTCGAAAGGAAACACCCACTGAGCAGATTGTCTTTTGGTTTTAGGATCATAACAGTAAATCCAGCTTTCGTCACCTGTTAGTATGTCGAACACAGCATTTGAGTCACCTCCGTTAAATCTTTCAATCATTTTACGACACCAATCCACACGATGGAGTTTTTGAGCCTCAGTCAAATTATGAGGTATCCACCGGGCGCAAAGCTTCCTGACCGCTAAATGTTCGTGGAGGATTTTGTGCACTTGACTCATACCGATGCCTAAGCTTGTCCGAATCTGTTGATAGGTCACTCTTTTGTCAGTCTCTATCATACGCCGCACAACACAGATGTTATCTTCAGTCGTCGCCGTAGAAGGCCGTCCCTCACGTAAATCATCAGTGAGATTAGTGCGACCACGTTTAAACTCATTAAACCAGTTGTAAACAGTCGCACGAGATGGGGCTTCATCGTGAAAGGCCAATCGTAGTCTATCATAACTTTCTTGTTGACTTAAATGACATCGAAAGTCATAAAAAATCATTGCACGAAAATTTTCTCGTGTTAAATTCATGATGACGTGACACAGACAATTTTCAATTTGCCGCCAAATCGTAAAACAAATGACAAATGAATGAAATATATACTCAGTAATATTGGCAAAGAGTTATATTTTCAAATTTTAGAATTATTTTTTTATTATATTGTTTATAAGTGGCCAGTTCTAAGAACTTTCAGTTTGACCCTCGTATTAAAATGGTTTTATTTTCTTAATAAAATAATACTTAAAAATCAACTTTGTCCTTGGCACTCTGATATGGGACTCGAACCAACGACCTTTCGCAATCCTGACGCCTGCTATCCAGGACTTAACAGGACAGACGAATTTTTCAAGCACTTGTTACTTTTTCGCTTCTACAGAGCTTACCTTCATCAGAGTTCAGGAATATGAATATTAAGAGATTTTCAATGTTACAACAGTATTTTACCAATTGAATTTATAGATAAATAATTCATTAATTTATCATCATCATCACTAGCCCTTTTACGTCCTCACTGCAGGGGCTCAGGCCTTATGGATGTTTAAGGAGAATGGGTCATGACCCTCCACGCTGGCCCAATGCGGATTGGAGGGTATTAACGACTGCAAATGCAGCCGGGACCAATGGCATAACGTGCCTTCCGAAGCACGGAGTAGCTGGAGATAATAATTTTTGGTCACCCATCCCGTGACCGACCCTTGCGAAAGTTGCTTAACGACTACGATCGCGGGCCACGGCGCTTATCCACTACGCCACCGAGCTACTCATTTGACGTTTGATGTCATTTGACGTATACACGTATATATGAGCGAGACAAAGATACACAACCATAAGACGAATGTAATTTGCATAGCTACGTCATGGTTTCCAAAAAGTACTACGCTTGTCGGCGTGGTTTTTGAATGAAATTGCTACTCTATTTATTAAACTCATTGGCTTTGGTTCGTTAATATGGTGTAATTTTGCGAGAAAAAGAATCAATATAATCAATATAAGTGACTCCGTGAAATAATGCATAGGTAATTGGGTGTGGGCGATAGGAAAAACTGTTTTTTGGCGTATTATTGCGAAAAGCTCAATGAAAAGCGGGAAGGATAACGGGTCATCTCTTTTCTGTATCATCAAAAACTTCAAAGAAACTGAGAAGCATTTAAACGTTGTCAAAATCTAGTAAGTACTATATTAATAAAACTTAAATCTTCCAATGTACTGCCACACTGTCCGACTTAGAGACAACACACAGTCTAATCCGCTAGTAGCATAGCAGAGACTTGAAATTGGAGGGTAGTTACATTTATCTTATTACTACTTATTTTTGGGAATTCCACCCCAACGAAGGTTAAAAGAATGAAATATTTTATCTCGAACCAAAAAAAAAAGTCGTAAGTATGAATCCTTATCCGAATCAAATTATCTTTTTAATTATTTAGACTGTATACGTAAAACTAATATAATTTGAGGATTTTGGTTTTTTAATCGATTCCAAAATCGAAAAGGACGAGGTTCAACGTTCGACGGCGAGGTATCTATTTATGTACGTCAATCGATTTGGCCCATTGAGCTATATGAATTTTATCGAAATAAAATTAGTAGTTTTGCCAAATACCAAAAATTTCTTAGATGACATACCTAATAATAGGTTGGGGAAAAAGTTTCTTCGTATTTTATATGAAAATTCAAAATATTTTTAATAAAGTTTATTTACATTTAACTAAAGTATGCAGGTACTATTTGTTCGATATCTTTTTGCCATCTTGTAGGTCATGATCCCATTGCTATAGAAATTTTGGGGCTTCTGATCAAAAAACCGCGACAAGTAGTTTTGGCAGTCTGCGTGATTTAACCGGAGCGAGTTGTGTCTTTGATATCATCATACATCAAAAAATCCAGATGGAAAAAGTTTAAACCAAATCAGTGTTACTCTCACAGAAACTGCACTAGGTCCATAAACGTCACATTTTACTCGGCTTGCGTTGTATTTACCTTTTTAGGATTAAAGTTTTAAAATGTAGCGAATTTCTTCATTAGATATATTAATTTTGATTTTCATAATTGGAATTCGGAGTTATCTTCTTTAAAATTTGAACTTTTTAATGATACCGAAACCAGCCAGATACAAATGGTAGAGTTAGAAAGATTTATTTTTAGTTTTTGCATAGTATATGCGAAAGGACTTAATCTAATATTTACTTATAGAAAAACAAAAGTTTATAAGCGAAGCAAAATCGAAAAAGAGGAATCTTTATGTTAAACTGGTAAGTATGTATATTTTTAATATTTTTTTATGGAAGTATGTAAACCGATTTTATGTAGCGAAATATGAACCTATTAGAAAAAATATTTACTTATATTTCTTTCGTTACATTACATATCGCACACCTAGATCTAAACTAAGACAACTCAAAAAACTAATGTGTAGGTCTGACAATGCATTTGTTTCCGTGGCAAGAGTGCGACCACTGTTGATTCAACAAAAGAAAGCTGAAGTTATCTAGCGGCTCATCCCCGAACCTTTATTGAATCTGTTATGTTGGATAGATGCGTATGATCACCGAGTATTTGAATATTGTACTAAGTCATAACTCACTCAAGTTTTTGAGTTGTCTCAGTTTAGATCTAGGTGTGCGATATGTTGCTTTCGTCTCGTTACATATGTTAACATAATGTTTTATATAAATATTGAATACTAGTGGCCGCCAGCGACTTCGTCCGCGTTTTCCATTATTTCTTCGCTCCTAATTGCAGCGTGATGTTATATAGCCTAAAGCCTTCCTCAATAAATGGTCTATTCAACACAAAAATAATTCTTCAATTCGAACCAGTAGTTGAGATTAGCGCGTTCAAACAAACAAACTCTTTAGCTGTATAATATTAGTATAGATTTTTAGTGATAACATATACAAAAAAATGAAATATTTGTTCTAATTTTCAAATAATGGAACCTTGACATCATCACATACATTGTTAAGATTCCAAGATGCGTATCTAAGCCCCCATATTAAGGAGTATCTGTGACAATGAAGGTTCCGCAACACCTAGACCAGAGA